TTTTTAAAAAAATTACCAGTGACGTCCGTACCAGATTTCTATGGAATATTTTTTTTTTCAAGAAAAAAATGGTGCGTCACTGCTTTTTTCTAAAATAAAAATCATTTTTGAAATCCCCATTCAGTTTGGAACAAATTTGATCTCTACACTTTTTTCTGAAAGATGCACCATTTTCAAATGAAAAATAAAGAACCATTTTGGGGCATGGCGAAATCGTCAAAATTATGATTAAAATGCTAAACATTAAACACCTAAAGTTTCAAATTATTTCTTTGACTTTTTTTTTCAAATATTTCACATCAAAAAATGTCCTTTGCTGCTTGAAAGCAGTGTACAAAATTTCAATGAAATATCTAGAGTGACTTGAAAATTATGATAGAAAAATAGTTTTTTTCTTAGAATTTCAACACCCTGTATCTTGGAAAGGAAGCGTTTCCAGACATATGTTTATATAGGAAACTAGGGCTTATTTTCGACGTAGAATATGCCATAAAAATTTGGTGCATTAATTTTGGAACATCCTGTATATATTGTTAATTTCATAATTATAGTTTCGTTAAATATATGTATAGAGGCATATTGTTAGTTTAATAAAATCAACTTCATTATTAATAATAATGTCATAATACATACAAAAGTTATTGTAATCTTTGAAGAAACAGAAAGTGTAAATATTACAAAACGATTATTAATTTCACAGCAATTGATTTTATCATTACCATTACCATTAATTTTTTAAATTATGATAGTAAAGGTATAAATATCACATTTTTTAGACAGAAGTTAAGTGTTGTTATGCTGACAACTCATACCTAAATGTTACAATTCAGGGTATTGTATTATTCACAATTCTCACTATACAGGGTGACTGGTAAGTGAACGAATTCTTTTGAGGGGGTGAAAGTAGAGTTCATTTGCTACCGATTAAACATCATTTACCTCTTTACCATTCTCAACGGTTTTGGAATTTTTTTTTATTTTTATTTTTAATACATTCACTTTTTTGGGGACCATTGGAAAGGGTTGAAAAGAAAACAACCAATCAAATACCTTGACGATACATAAACCCCGGAAAGGGGCGGGGCTCAACTAACCAATTAAATGCCTTGCTGATATCACTCGCATCTGATTGGAAAGGGTCGGGGCCTATATCCAACCTATCAAATGCTTTGTTGATATCCTATTGCGTTTGATAACGAGTCAGCCACAATGTTGCCAGCTTGACGGAATTATCCCCCTTTTGCTTTGTTGAGGAAATTTTCTATTTTCGTTCGCAAAAGGGTAGAAGCGGAAAGCGGAATTTTTAAAGTCTGTTTTTTTTTAAAGGTTAAGAACAATGTTAAATTGTAGATGCTTTCAAATTTTTTATGTAGAGAAGGCTTGTATTGCCAGCCAACATAGTTTCATTTTTGACTTGGGGAATTATCTTTAAAAAAAAAAAACAGACTTTACTTTTTTTTTATTTAGTTACGAACATCTATATTATTATATAAACAGATAATATCCATCAAAGTAGAACTATTCCTACTTACTCTTGTTCCAAATTGAATACTTACAACAGGGATTGCAAGTATTTGTACTCCACTCAGACAAGAAATTGATATTCAAATCTCCCATTAAGATAACATGATTATAAGTTGCATATAAACTAGATAATACATTTTCTGCACTAGATAGAGATTGATAAAACACTTACGGGGGTTTATACCTATTAGCAATGTTTTGTTTCTACACTCTACTTCTACCCAAGTTTTACAAACAGTCTGATACATACAAGCAAATACCTCCTCCCCTATACTAGCTCTGTTTGCTCTAAATAACTTATACTCAGAGATATTCACTATGGTTGTCAGGATATTCTTGTGTAAGCCAAGATTCAGTTATTCCAAAAATATGAAATTTTTGTTGTTGCAACATCTCACAGACGATGAAATCTATCTGCAAGCTTTATGCAACATTGAGAACATTTATGTTTCTTATTCCAAAGTTTATATTGAAATATTAGGTAACTGTTTTTATTCTTGAAACTGTTAACGTACGCATGTAAATGTATCTGCAACATTACAGCTACAGTTTTAAGAAAAGTTGAGTTTATAATATTTATGCAACCATTTATTTTATTATATATTTCCAATGTTACAAACGTAAATATTTCCACAACATTAAAACTACAGAGTTGAGAAAAGTTATATTTTATAACATTTTTATAATATTTGCTTTACTTACATTTTATAATGTTTCAAATGTAATACATTATTGTATCTACTGCAATATTTACTTGATAACTAAAACGAATGTTTCTTTATTGAAGTTATATCAAATTCATATCCCTTCACATTGGATAAGTAATATTTTAGAAAGCTTTACGTCATATTACACGTAATACATTTTCTAAAGTAAAGGTCGATACAATATTGCTGACAAATTTTGCAACATTACATGTTTAGTGGGATGCCCTACATGTTTCACTCTATATTTTCAAAGAGCACAATGCCCCGATCTATATTTCATTGAGCAGTCTCTCATATATTTGGCTTCAAAAATTGTAAAAATACTATCCTACTACTGATTTTGTGAACCATTCTACCTGTACAGTGTACAGGTGAATACTGCAGGTAAAATTTGAGGTACTTGGTTGTTTCTCTGATAGTATTTTTAAAATTTTTAGAACCAAATATGTTGGAGACGGCTCAACCAAATATAGACAAACTATATAGTTTTGGAATCGGAAATTGTGTTCTTCAAGAATATAGAACCAAATACATTATAGTGTATTCCATTTGAAAAAAGCTGCAAGCATGCAATATTCCACATTTCTGACATTCAAATTTTGTTTTTGACCATGGATTTTAAAAATTTAGCCAATACTGTTCAACTTTTGTATATACACCTTTCATCTACCTAATAAAGGTAAAGGCTGTGAGTGGGGTGTCAATACATAAAAAAACACCCTGTACATAATCTTATTGATTTTGGATGAATATTTATTTATCAGAACAAAAAAAAAAACAATACAGCAACTCAACCACTAATGATATACTGTTTGAGGTTGAAGTTCTTGGGACAAAGACAAAAGTGTGATTTTTTATAAGTTTCCAGCTTCCTAAACATTCTTAAAACCTAAAATATAGTTTTGTTTTCTTTTTTTTTTTTTTAATTTTATTATTTTATTTTAAAAAAGGGGGGGCAGTTGCCCTCCTTCCCCCCACTGTATCCGCCACTGACTTTATTATTGAAATCGGAATTTCGTTTTTTGGTATTATAATTATTCTTATCAATTTATTAATAAAAATGTAACTGGAAAAATGACAAACTTTATGGTACATCAAAGTAAAAAGAAGTTGATGCGGCAACATTGCGACATGCCAACGTCATAAATTTTGATCTCCCACATATATTGTTTTATAAATTTCCCTATAGCAATAATTGTTTAATCTACGTCGGTGTCATTATGACACATTTAGCATTGTCATTTGAATGTCATTAGGTCCTTCATAATAGCACTAGTGCGTTTAAGAATTCATAATAACACCCAAATTTTGAAATGAAAAATATACAAAAAGAAAGTTAGTTGCCAGAAGAACCTTTTCAATAATGCTGTCTCTATATTGGAAGAGACACTTTCGAACTCAGAATCACCAATAATAATATTATTTTCCACTATAAAATTGAATTTATGGCACAAAAATGGACTCCAATATTGAAGCTGCCAAAGTCAAAATTCTAAAAACCAACAAGCAGGTTCTCGACTAGTACGGGCACCTGCTAAATTTCAAATTTTAATTTGAGAAGTTTTTGCTATTTCAAGGCAAATCAAATCTATTTGGACCATTGTAGATTAAATTTTGAATGATACACGTTCGATATGAACTTTATTAATGAAACTTGTGTAACTAAACCACTCGGCTAACGCCTCGTGGTTTAAAGTTACACGCGTTTCATTATGGCGTTCATATCGAACTTTTATCATTAATAACTATAATGTTTGATAAATAATAGAGAGTTATTGGACGTGCAATAAGGACAAGCAGTATTTAAATTAGCCTTATTTTGACATCTACACATGCGCATTTGGGTCCGAAATTAAGGATTCCCTTAATAAAGTTACTGCTTGTCTTTATTTGTGTATGGTTAGTGCGAGGCAGTAAACTTCCCTTATTTCAAATTTCTGACATTTTTGACGACTTTGACGTTTTACTTTTCGACGATGACGTAATTTTACTTAGAAAATTTATTTTTTACAATAGTTTTCCATTTTACTGTGGGTAACATCAAAAAATGAGTATCAGCAGAAAATCACAAACAAACATAAACACTTCTTGAGGCTGAAATTTATGAACATAGCTATCATTTGTCAAAATTATGAATACAAAATAAGGTAATACTCTAACACCTACTGCAGTCTTCCAATAAGTGTTTTTTTCTTGGAAAAATAGGGCTGATGCACTAATAAAATAACGTAAATCTTTAATACTGCGAGGCAGTATTTAATAGTTCCAATAACTCTCTATTATTTGTTGCTTTTAAAAATACCGTGCTTCAATAAAAAATTTCCTATGCAAGCTTTGGTCACTTATGAATAGATGGCGCCACCATCAAAAGCCAAATAAAACAATAATAATTATTGTTTTATCAGTAATAATTAACAAATCCAATTAATAATTAATTGTTTTATTAAAAAAAATAAAACTAATTATAATAATTTTTGGCTTTAATTACAACTCAACAAACTCGATTCTGTAAACTTGGCTAGTTTGTGGCTAGATGGCGCCACTGTCAAAAGCCAAATTAAACAATAATTATAATTATTACTTATAAACAATCAATTAACAACTACAAATAGTAATTACTTAATTATTTTATCCATATAAAATCGATTTTTGATAATTATTATTATAGATTTTTCCCATTTCAATTCCTTATAACCAAAACTTGAATAGTTTATGGCTAGATGGCGCCACAGTCAAACGTCAAAAATTATTTGTCCATTGATGATCGATTTTGTAAATAAATGGCCGCTCGGCCAAATTGGATTGAACATTTTTACGTTTTTTTCGTGTTTTGTGTCGTCCTGTGATTGTTTTAATCGAAAATGTCGCGTAGTTTTTTTCGTCCCGTTTGCGTACGTGTATAATTCAATCACGTAAGCCTAGAGGAACTGGCCACAAATCGAGTAAGTTTTACCAGTCTGGGGTTATGTTGATTTTTATTTGTTATTGTTTGCACACATGTGACGAATTATTTAAATTTTTAAGTTATTGTTTATCAAATTGAACAAGCCCAAGGCTTGTTTGTAACCATTGATTTGCAACAGTTTCTTTTGGCAAAAACTTTCAATCAATAATCAAGTGTTTGTGTGTGTCAGATTGGCCCTTTAAATTTTAAAATCCTATAGAATATTATATTGGCTTAAACAAGGGGAATTAAAAATTAATTATTCATTAGTTGTTGTAGCCGAACATTTCATAATTCAAAATTAAAAATGCATGCAAAATAATCTCTCCTAATCAAATCTAGCATTTGAAAACGGGCATTCATTCGCCAATAAGTCAGGATAGGGATTATTTCTTGAGTGCCTAATTTTAAACTAGTTATAGTCTAAGAGCCAGCGCCGAAAAAAATCTCTGAATTTACTAAAGCTAGTATTTGGACAGTTGATTACAGTATTTACGTATATACATAAACATACCGCGGTCAGTCAAGCGAAACTTGGGACAAGGACCCAGGGTGTCTTGTTAAAGGTGTCGAGATAACTTGGGTAATGCAACGAATTTACTAAAGCTGAAAATCGTTATACATATTATATATAGAATAGAATAGAATTTTATTTACGGACATTGTGCAAAACCACATAATGGAAGATAAATAACTTGATAATTAGTGGACTGTATAATTAGGTGGACTGGATGATCGACTGGATCGGGAACTAAAACACACGCGCTTTTCACTGACACTATATTTACAACAATTTACACAATATTTACACTATTTACAATTACTACTACAAGATGACAAGAAGCCAGAGCTTGCTTAGATGCCCAACAGGGCAGAGCTAGATTATAAAATTTATTAAAATGTGAAAAGGTTTCTGGATGCTTGTTAACGTGGACAAGCTCCAAGCTACACTGCTGCAATGACAAAAATGGCGCGCAATATATTGACAGACATGACAAAATAGACATGACGACAACGCTGCAGTGTTGCAAACTTTATATGTATAAAAATACTTTGCCATCAAAAAGAGATAGCATGATTGTTGGAACATGTTTCAAAACATGCTGGGGGGCCTAGAGTTTCACATGAAACCAAGGTAAAATTTTCCAGCAAAAAAAAATAAAAAAATTAAAGAGAAAGTAAGCAACCCTTTTTTTAAAAAAAGGTATGATTTCAATGATGATCCAGTAAACGAAAACTTAACTAACAATTAAAGCTAAAAACATTTCTGGAACACATAGTATGACATTATGTATGTATATACGAGTATAGCTAATTGAATATAAATATAAATCTAAATGTTTTACAAATATATGTACAGAATTTTGTGAATAATTTTCAAAAATATTATTAACAATTATTGTCATCAATCGGTAACACTGCAATCTTGGTAACCGATCTGAAATAAATACCTTTTTTGGTTTTCACTTCGACAACCCTTACTTTGCCGTCCTTTCCAGGTATTGCTTTAACTATTCTTGCCATTGGCCACTTATAAGAAGGTACATTATCCTCTTTTAAAATGACTAACAAGCCCTCCCTAAGGTTAGGCATCTCATCACGCCATTTTGGCCTATTTTGGAGTTGCGTTAGATAGTCGTGATACCACTTTTTCCAAAAATGCTGCTGCATCTGGACACACAATTTCCAAAACTTAAGTCGACCTTGGGGAATTTCCGTCAAATCAGGGTCAGGAAAGCTTGTGATAGGCGCACCTATCAAAAAATGACCAGGGGTCAAATAGTCCAAATCTGAAGGATCTTGTGACAAGGCTACAAGTGGTCGGGAATTTAAAATTCCTTCTACTTGGACAATAAGAGTATTAAATTGTTCATAGGTAAGCTCATTGCTACCTATGACTCGCTTGATGTGAAATTTTGCCGATTTTACTCCAGCTTCCCATAAACCACCAAAAACTGGAGAATAGCTCGGTATAAAATTAAATGTAATTTTTTCCTGAAGGGAATAATTTTCAATTTTTTCTGTTTCGTTATAAAACTCTTTGATTTTATTCTCGGCTCCTTTAAACGTGGAACCATTGTCGCAGAAAATATTTGCGGGCTTCCCCCTCCGCGAAATAAAACGCTTCAGAGCAGCTAGAAAATTTTCGGTTGTCAGGTCTGAAAGCAGTTCCATATGAATTGCTTTGACTGAAAAGCACACAAAAAGTGCTATGTATGCCTTGGAACTTACGGATTTTCTAATTCGAGATTGCTTAACGAGGAAGGGACCACAAAAATCTACCCCGACATTTTGAAACACTCTGGCTGAACAGACTCTTTTTTCCGGCAAGGAACCCATTAATTGAGTGGAACATTTTGCTTTGAATTTAAAGCAAATCACACATTTGTGTAGCTCTTTTTTAATTAATCTTATTCCATTTATGAGCCAATAATTGAGGTTTAGGGAACCTAAAACTTGTCTTGGTCCAGCGTGCAACAAAGTTGAATGTTCTTGTATTATAATTAATTTGGTGATGTGACTTTCCTTGGGCAAGATCACAGGATGTTTCTGATTATATGGAATGTTTGAATTATGTAACCTTCCACCCACTCGCAATAATCCATTGCCATCTAGGAACGGCGACAAAGAGTTTAATGAGGATTTTAAAGGGGTATTGGAAAGTAAAGATTTAATGTCATTAGAAAAGTAAAAGTCTTGCTCACATTTTATGATTACTCTAAGACTGTGTTCCAGTTCTGAAAGCTTCAAACTTCCCTCAAGTTTTTCACCAGAATTTTTTCCAGAATTGTGAACAAATCTAAGTATATAGGCAAAAACTCTTTGAAGTCTTCTAAGGGATGAAAAATCTTCAAAAAATGAATTTGGCTTTGTTTTTATGACTTGTGTTAAAATTTTTTCTTCTGGCAAGGAAGCAGGAATTTCTATAGGAATCTCATTATGGCAAAAATTAATATCAGAAAGAACGTTTGGACCGTGGAACCACAGATTATTTGACTCAATTTCCTAAGGCTCGAGACCCCTGGATAGACAATCGGCAGGATTTTCTTTCGTGTTAATATATAACCATTTAAAAGTTGAAGTTAAGTTTTGAATTTTTATAATTCTGTTTGCCACATAAGGGTTTAATTTCAGAGGATCTGATTTTAACCAAGCAAGTACAATGGTCGAATCAGAATAAATAAATACTTTATCAATTTTTGATTGCAATAAGATAGACACCTTTTTTGCCAGATTTGCTAAAAGCAAAGCTCCATTAAGTTCCAATCTAGGAATGGTAAGTTTTTTATTTATAGGTACTATTCTAGACTTTGAACAAACTAAATTTACATGTACTTACTCTGTCAGGAAAAAATGTTCTTACATAAATGACTGCTCCATATGCTATCATGGACGAATCGCAAAACCCTACAAGCTCAATGCTATTTGCGTTTGTGAAATATAAATTCCGAGGAATCTCCAAAGTTTGCATGTTAATAAAACCCTTTATAAAACTTTTCCAAATGTCCAACAAATCATCGGGCAATACTTCATCCCAACTAAGTTTGCATGTCCAAATTTTTTGCATGATTACTTTGGCTGCCACCAAAATCGGGCCTGCCAACCCCAAAGGGTCATAAAATTTGGAGATCAAACTGAGTACTTGTCTCTTTGTTAAATATTCATTGATGTCCATAACTTTAGGAGTTGACAATTTAAAATGATCAGAAATGGTATCATAAGTTAGGCCTAGTGTTTTTACGGTAAAATTATTCTTACTCATATCAACCTCATCGAAATTTTGTTTATCTTTAGGGATGCCACTCAAAATGTTTGGTTCATTGGTACACCATTTATGCAGAAAAAATGATCGTGAACCCAATAAAGAAATTAATTCGTCTCTAAGCTTTATGGTCTCTTCAATTGTGTCAGAACCCGATAAGATATCATCTACGTATGTATTATTTAAAAGAGCTTTTGCTGCGAGAGGGAATTTTTTACCTTCTGAGTGAGCCAGCTCAGCCAAACACCTCGTTGCTAAAAAAGACGAGCTTTTCAAGCCATAGGTGACTGTCTGTAATTGAATATACTGTAAGGAACCGAGATGATCTCTCCACAGAATGTTTTGCAATGGCCGGTGTTCCGGGTGAATTAAAACCATGCGGTACATTTGTTTTATGTCAGTTAAAATTACGAATTTATAAGTTCTGAAGCAAACAAGAATATCGAATAAGTCTTTCTGGACTACTGCCCCATTGTACAAGAAGTCATTTATACATTTCTTTTGTTTCGATTTTATGCTGCCATCAAAGACAACTCTGAGTTTGGTGGTTTTTTTGTCTTCCCTTATAACGGGGTGATGCGCCATGAAATAAATCGAACCATTAGTTAACTCCTCTACAGGGTAATTGACAATTTTGGCATGATTTAAATTCAAATAATCATCCATGAAACTCTTATATTGCGAGAAAAGATCAGGATTAACTCTAAATCTTTTTTCCAGGTTTTCAAAGCGCTTTATAGCCACTGAAAATGAATCCCCCAAATTTATGTCAGTTTGTTTTAGTGGCAATTTCACCTGATATTGGTTATTTATTATTTCAAGAGAATTTTGAAAACAAGACTCGCAAGCTTCTTGCTCGCTAGGATATTCTGGAAATATCTCAGGGACTTTCTCAGTTTCCCAAAATTGAGACATGGTTTTTTCAAGATCTGAATAGGTCGCGTGAAACGCAAAAAAATTGCATGTGACATTTGCACAAGCAGAAATTGCACCGCTTACAATATAACCAAATAGGGTGTTTTGAAAATATATATTGTTGCATTTATGCTTCTCGGAGAGAAAAATTTCAAACGCCACATTTGCACCCAATAAAAAATCAATCGGTCCCGAGCGGTAAAAACTGTCATCAGACAAATGAATATTCCGAGGCGTTTCAAACTCTGAAATATCAAAACTTACATTAGGCAAATTGCTTGTAATAGTGTCAACAAGCGCACACTTTATGTTTTTTGAAT